AGTGTTTGACCCAATCCTCCAATACCTTCTACGTACTTTCTAATTATTATCCTGCTTCTAATAATTTTAATTTCAGAAGTAGGAAAAAGTCAGCTGCGTTGATTTTTTAAATTATATTTGATTATTTTTTGAATTATGCATTAAATGTAGACACACATATGTTCCAAATTCCTATAATTTTTTTGTTCAAGTTTTATGAAAATCATATTTATACTAAAAACAAAACAACATCTGCATCTCAAATGTGGTATATTTTACGTGCGTTTTTTAAATAATCATTTCCGGATACTTTGCACTCTGAAAGTTCATGAGTTGATATTTTAAATTAGGTTATTGCAAAGAAAGAATTACTATTAAAATTAAGAAAAACAAATGCAACAAACACTTTAAAATACAAGCGAATTTTGCTAAAATAAATTTTATAATTACATCTGTACATTTCAAAAAGTTTTTATAATTATTTGCCTCTGGGATATATCATGAAATAACATCTGCATGAGAACTGCAATTGCCTCAATTGTGAGTTTGAAATAATTTCAAATTATTTTTTTCCATCAACATTTTTATAGAGCAGTAAGTTAAACACTTTACTAACTCGTATTTACAGTTTAAACTGAAATGAGCAACAGGTAAAATCTCAATCTGTACCACACATCCATAAAGGGCGTAGGAGTCAGTGGTTGCACAAGACTATCCTCTATTCACAGCACCTGCTACATAATAAAATTTTAACATTACTTCCATTATTGCAGACAAGTCTGCAACGCTACTATGTATTATAGTATGCAGTAGACTGTGGAAAATGTGATGCCACCGTTTTTATGCAAGTTTCTATGCCATTAAGAATGAGGGAAAATTAAAAAAATATGGTGGCATTTTCTTGTTCTGTGTTGGTAACACTTTAATTGCAACACATTTCTTTCTACAACGCGGAGGTGGCGTGTTGCAACATATCCCATGTGGCATGTGTATGCATTAATGCCTTTCAGTAATCAGATTTCATAGAGGTTCCTGCTGAATGGTGCAACTTTGCTTAAGGATGCACTTGTCTAAAAGTCGCATAATATTGCAAAGATTTCGTATAAAATTTTTTCTTCTTAATTTGTAAAAATAAATTACGGAAGTGCTCTTAAACAACTGCGGAGTTCAAATTGTTTTGTGCTGAACTGCAATTTGAGTTTGTTGAGTTAAAGTTTGGTAATCACCGGTAAAAAGTTAAACCTCATTAAAATTTTATAAACAATTGAAGCGCGGTAATTAAATTAAAATTTAAGGACTTGAACTTTTAAAATTTAAATCGCAATATTTAAGCATTAACAAAAGCATTATAGTAGTTTATTCATTTTAGTGGAAATGTCTACTTTTGGGTAACTCTAGAATATCGGTAAGAAAATTTTCACTCAATTTTTTTATAAATAAATAGGTATATATAAATATTGGTTTTAGCACATAAATGTGATCTTCTTTAGTGTATATGTATATACTTTCTAATTAAGTATATTTCCAAGAAGAAGACAGTAAGCAGTGTGAGTCAATATAATACAATTTGTAACCAATATTTTTAAAGAAGATAATTCAGTCCTTATATTAATAACAAACGACCTATAAAATCCTTTTTTCATATAACATCAACTGAAAATTATTCTGTCAAAATATATTTTTTTAATGCATTTGTGCAGTAAATAACATATGTGGAGTACCACATTTTGAGGCTATGAGTAGTAATTTTGAGTAGTCATATTTGAAGTACTATAAAACTAATTGACGATGTAAAAAAAATGACACTAAATCAAGAAAACAAATCAATTGATTATATTCAATTTATAAATTATGATGTAATTTATAATATAATAAATTGCAACATTTGTATAAAACTAGAGTCATTTAAAATAATTTAGTTTTCATAATCACACATTTCTCCTTTTAGAACAACGTTTTTAAAATACGCAACGTGTGCTTTAATTTGTCAATTAATAAATTCCTATAGTTTAAGTCATTCACTAAAAAAGTAAGTTTTATTTTATATTAAAAGCGAGGTATCATGCAGCACAGCTTAAAGCTTTTTACGCTCTACAATATAGATCATGCAGTAACTACAATATAAGCTGTTTATGTGCTCGGAAAAAACAGAATTTGAGTGACAAAATCTTCTGCAGTGGTGTAGCTGATTTTGCTTAAAGGACCGAAAAATTGGACTTGCTTTTTGCTAGACTAGACTCGAAGGTTCTAAGGAAGAATTTAACCATCCCATTATAATGCGCTATAAAAATATTAGTATTTTTAGTAGTTTGGTTTTTAACAGACAAGAAACGCACAAGAAAATTAAAAATTCTTGGTTCTATAAGGAAGATGAGAAAGAACTCACTCCACATATGCTTTATTGAATGTAGTTTAAATAAGCTGGAATTAACTTTCGAAATGATCTTTGTTTGTCGCAATAACTGCTCTGAAGAAACATCTTATCCTTTATTAAAATTAGTTTAAAACTCTAAGATATTCTTTTATCAACATCAAACGCCACTTGTTTAAATAGATTTCTGCCATTATCGTGATAATTAAACATATTAGTAAACCAATTTTACCGATTTTATTATTTGGTCGTATTAATAATAGATCGTTTATGTCATTTCAACCAATTATTTCAATAACTGAGAAATTTTGCTTAAAGCTGTGCAGATATGTGTACGTTCACTACTAAATTGACTCTTTTTTTTTGCTAAATCGATTGAAGTCATCATTTTCTTTGAAGAATATATGAGTTCTAAATGGTTTCCCCTTTACTGCACTATATATATTTTGACAAATTTAATCATTTTAAACAGCATTTGAAAGTATAGAATTTCAAAAAAATTTCTTTTTGTTATTTGATATCTCTTAATGATTTTAGAAAACAAAAAATGAATTCAGTGTAAATGTAATAATGTTGCTCCCTCTTCATTTTAACAAAAACTTTATTGTCTGACAAAAGCTTCTCATTGCAATTGCATCACGTCTGAAATCCACTTCGGTTACAGTTTTCATTTCTCTATTCGGTTTTATTTGTCACGTCAATTTTGCTGAAGCTCTGCGGACGCTACATTTTTTAATAGTCACTACAATAAAAACGTTTTATCTTTGCTAGTGAAATGCGATTTTCAGGCATACAAGAAGTAAAAGGGAAAAACTATGACCAAAATATGAACGAAATGAATAACGAAAAAATGGGTGAAACCCATTAAATGATGGTCGAAATGTTACAACAACGTTGGAACGAATCTCGAATCTCAATTAAGAAATTGCTCAGCACAATTGCATTACTTCATAGTGCTGTGAACTTTCAGTATCCTTTGTTTTCGTTTTAAGTTTTTTGTACTTCGGATGGTTTGGAGTGTGTCCTAAAGCAATATGTAAGCCACTCTATTGATATCAGGGTTTTGTAGGAGTTGTTGGTTGCTAAATTAATGAATGCACAATTATGAAATATGTCTATTTGCTCTTATTGAGAGTTCTGTGTACATACAACTAAACATAGTATTAGACATTGCTTCACAATTAAAAATTATAGTGAGTAATTTATTTTATTTAAATCAGGTTCCTTACAAAACAGAAATTTAGAAATCTAGAGCTTAATAACTCAGTGATTAGTAGTTTTTAAAATTTTTCAATTTAAACTCGACACTTTTTTTTAGCTTAACTTCTACTTTTTAATAATTTTTCAAAAATAATATACGTGTTGGTTATAGTATTCTTTATTTAATCATATATATCATATATATTTAGATAGTATTGAGACAATATAGTGTAAGAAAAATATGACCTCATATCATACCATATTCTTGGAGTTATGTTATACAAACAGTCATGGTCATATCAAATGTAAAATTGTTGGTGTTGTGTAAATCAAAAATTTGAGAATCAGAAAAAAAGAAAGAGGAATTTTGTTAAATTTGGTCAAAATGATCAGTCTTTTTCTGTCTCGTCATGTTGGTCATTGTTGCTAGTAATAAATATCAGAATTTGATCACAAATGTTTTATTTACCTTTTAAATTTATACACAACCGAAAAGTAATATAAATGGAGGAAAAATACGAAATTGACAAATGTGATATGACTCCTATAAGTTTAATGTGATTTTCATAAAGTATTCTTTAATAATAAAATTTAATTTTGACTAAAAAATTTTTATATAATCTTTGTTTCATTTTTGAAACCTTATTTTATCGCCTAACGGGGGTGCAACGTTGCCTAGTGTGTAAAGAGCTGTTAAAACCAAATCAGAACACCAGATGAGCTGGAGAGTCCATATCTGAGTTACTAAATATTTATCACTTAATTAAAAAAAAAATTATTTCACGTGACGGCAGTCTATTAAGTTGATTTATCATTAATTTCTTAAACAATCATGATGTATCCTATTATTATGATAAAACTTTATCGCAAGAACCGACCTTCTCAACTCTTTATGTCTCTAGCTAAAATTCCATATAAGCCAGGACTCCAAAATAACAAAAACACGACACACTATCTGATCCAATAATGGAATATTCAACTCAAAATACAAACTCTAATAATACCCAACCAATCCCTAGATTGTCCCATAAAGCATCGGGTCATTTAAATACTCTGGGCACATTACCTTCCTCACATTTTTGGCGAATGCTAGATTACAAACTATGAAAATAATTATTTCAAATGTTGTCAATCGTACATTTTGCTTGTAGCTCTTTTCAGACCACATATTCTGTGATTTATAAAGAAACATAATTTCTATTTCGCAAACAAACATTTTGCTTAGTGAACAATAGATTTTAAAGTAACCTATAAAATTGTTAGTTTTTGATGGTAAGTTGCTAAGATATTTTTATTTGTTTAATTCATATATATATCTTTTAAAAATATATAAACAGTGATTAAAAATTAGTGCGCAATCATATTATTCATACAGAAATACATCTACTTTTAAGTCTATAAAATTTTATTATAAGATTAATTTTATCTACTTTGCTTCTCTTTATTTTAGCAAAACTATAACTATCACATAATGCAAAAACCTCATACAAACTTAAGGTCCAACTTCTACTTAAATCAAAATGGATTCCAAGAACCAAACGTGATTTTTACTTGAAAGGGTTTAAAAAATACTATCCTGCACTTATTTCCAACCAAACAAAAGAAAAACCACAAAGTTAAAATTTGCTGGCACTATATAAAATTGTTATATATAATTTAGATGAGAAATATTTGGTCCCTTAAAAACGATTTCAACGTTTAAATCAAAAGAGTTCCCAAATTGAAAAACTCAACCAAAAAGGCACTTTAAGCAAACCTCCACAAAATGCACAACTGCAAACAAATTTGGCTATTCGTCTTTAGCTGGTATATGCTATATCCTTTTAGCACAGACTCAACACCACTACCAGTTTCAGCTATAAATTCCGCAGAGCATAGTCATACTGCACCCTGTCCACATGAAAGCATAGCCGAACTCATCAAAACAAGTCCTGTGATAGTTAAAGCATTGGGAGCGCGTGTATTCACCGACGATGACTTAAGTGTGTTGCAGATGGTCAGGGGTGAGCAGGATAACTGGCAAAATGGGCAAAATAATTTCTTAACGTCAGCAACACTTGACTCGACAGTAAAAGTACAATCCGCAGCGACCCCAACAACAACGAGAGCATCAACGGCGTCAGCAGCATTGCATAACAAAAATTCTGCTGGTGACAATAGCTATAATAACAACAACAGCAAGAGAAACATGCCAACAACGGAAGTAGAGTCCATTTTAATAACATTAACACCGGAAACAATATACAAAGGGGCCTCGTTGCTTAAAATGACACCGGGTGCGGAAAATGCACCACGGAACAATCTTGGTAGTAGTAGCAGTAGCAATGGCTATGGCAACCAAGCAGAGTCAGCATATCAATATGAGGGGTAAGTGCAAAACCGTAGTTATTAAGCATATTATATTGTACAGGATGCCAAGGAGCAATCCTTGCCAAATATCCAAGAGATTTATCTGTGCGCCAAAGTAGCTTTCCTGCGAAATAATAACAATTTTATTATTAAAAATTTAAAAAAGTTGATCAACTTATTTGGACTTGTTCACTTCACTTCTGTGGAGCTAAAGACTTTTAAGTGTAAAATTTAATCAAAAATATTCGAGAACTTAATTCTGTTGATTAATCAAAAAATATAAATATTCATGAAAATATCTGTAAATTGCATATATTGAATTTAATTTGTTATTTAAAAAAATTTAATTAAATTAAAATGTGCATAAAAATATGTTTTCAGTAAACGCTACTAAAATTAACTGCCTTAATTAAATAGCATTGTTTAAATATTAATTACAATTTTCATTAATTATTGTTTAATTAATATTATTCAATGCAGAAATAATTATTTATGTTAAAAATCCGCTTCAGTGAAACCAACTTCACAGCTGCTGTATTAATCGGGATACTTCTTGTATCTAACAAGCTGCACACACTTATTAATTTTATGCTTAAAAGCATTTAAGTTTGCCATGGCGTACGTATAATCAGGATTTCATACTCACACCACTCGGCAAATTAACAGGGAATTGCAGAATATGCATAATAATGTCATCAGTATTAAATTTGTATATCCAAGGCCCTGTGTAAATCTGCTTTGCGCACTAAATGCATCATGCATTATGCACAACGCAGCTTCATTCAGCTGCAACTGATTTATGACAAATATTAAAAATCATTATGCCGCACAAATTGCTTTAAAATAATTTATTTATGAAAAGCTTTTAATTATTTATAAATTAACGTACTTGTACACAAATTTGTTGCCACCTATAATACGGATATAGTTATTTTTGCTTTTCTGCATTTTATATTTACTTGATGCTTGTGTCCTGGCTGCGCTTGTGGCCGTTCATTTATTATTGCAGTCAATTAAATGCAACCCTTGAGCCCTTAGCCTGTTTCGATGGAAATGTGCTGAAAATGTTGCCAACTGAATTAATTGCTTTTGGCAAATTGATAACTGTCCAACAGCAACAGCAACAGCTACAACAAGGACAACAAAGTCAAAGCCAAGAGCGTTCCGGACAAAAGGATATTTTACGCATCAGCATAAACGGATTGCATCGGTGGAGTCCACAATTTGAAAATCACATCTGGAAACATTTGGGTAAGCTTATATTAATTAAATAAAAGCTGCTAAAAGTCACACATGCGAATATATGATATATAAAATAAAAAAAAAAATGTGCAATACATGAGATATTTAATTTTGTTATATATTAGAAAAACTACAATATGATTTTTGTTTTGAGAGATGCATTTAATTAGTGATTAATTATTAAGAAGTGCTTACAAGAATTACATTATACTCAATCTGCAATTTTTCCAAAACGGAATATAATGCGTATAAATAATTATATCGCAGAGTAAAGTTTAGAAATGAAAAAATGAAATACAGCTCTAGAAAATTTTTCTATAAATTTAAATTTTCTAACTAAAGATTTATGGTAGAGTATCAATTGACTCATGGATTTCAATATCACCAGGCACCCAATCTATCAAAATTCTAGCATGCATCCTTAACATGCATCCTTAAAACAACAGCAACATTTACTTAAGCATATATATATATATATATATAATAATGAATCTATTTTTATATAATAACATATATGTACGTACCATAAATGAATTGAAAATATTAGGCTGCATGTGTTTACTTCATGAAAATTTGAAAGTTATATTTCAAATAAATGAAATTGTTTACAAGTAAAAAAAAAGCTTATTGCATTTAAGTATGACAACACTTTGTTGAACTTTATTTTACCAAACAATAGCCTTAAGACAGTTTTGGGATTAAGGCATAAGGTTCTACTGTGGAAACTACTATGAGTCCACATGACTTGAGTAGCTCTGCCATTCATATTTCCTAGGAGTCGATTTATCTAATGTAATATCCATATATTTAAGCTTCTGTGTGAACTCTGTGAGCTGTGTCCCATTCAATTCTTTTTCGAATTAATATTATACACTATTTAAAAAATTTGTCCTAGGCCAGTTACATTAGTGACAGTGGTATCACATTACAAGTATCAATGATTACCAAGTAATCTGTATAATTGCCTGAATGTTCCAATTTAACAAGCAGTTCTTCGACTACAAGCATTCATAGTAATGGTGAGAGAATCCCACCTCGAAAACAGCTCTGTACAGCACTGATGCTGACAGTAGTCTTAAGAATATAGAATGTACCTAGGAACAATTAAGAATATAAGTTAAGAATATTAGTTCCTATCACATAACATTATAATTCTCTATACATTCTTCTAATAATATTTAATTAACATTTACCGTTCTCATTTATGAATTTGTTAAGTTATAATACATCAATAGTTTCTCACCTGTGCTATAATAATTTTGCTCTTATTGAGAACCTAAACATTACTAACTCGATTAGAAAATACTGCTTTCTAAATCATTCTAGGCTCTTTAATTTACCAAAAATTTTGTTAGTTGGAAAAGATGAATATGCATTCTTCTGATCAAGTAAGAAGGAATGTATCTTTAGTCTCTGTCTTTACCAATTAGTTTTATTCTTACATTTCAGAGTCAACAGTATTCAATAACTTGTGGTTTTTAACAAAAAATATTTCTGATTTAACAAGACAAATACCAGTAGATCCACATATTTCTGTATTTACATAATTTGAATTTATAGCCTGGTAATTGGTATT